GATATGCAGATGATACCACTCTGATGGCAGAAAGTGAGGAGGAATTAAAGAATCTCTTAATGAGGGTGAAAGAGGAGAGGGCAAAAAATGGTCTGAAGCTCAACATAAAAAAAATAAGATCATGGCCACTGGTCCCATCACCTCCTGGCAAATAGAAGGAGAAGATATGGAGGCAGTGATAGATTTTACCTTCTTGGGCTCCATGATCACTGCAGATGGAGACAGCAGCCACGAAATTAAAAGACGCCTGTTTCTTGGGAGGAAAGCAATGACAAGCCTAGACAGCATCTTAAAAAGCAGAGACATCACCTTACCAACAAACGTCTGCATAGTCAAAGCTATAGTTTTTCCAATAGTGATGTATGGATGTGAGAGTTGGACCATTAAAAAGGCTGACCACCGAAGAATTGATGCTTTTGAATTGTGTTATGGAGGAGACTCTTGAGAGTCCCCTGGACTGCAAGGAGATCAAACCTATCCATTTTTAAGGAAATCAACCCCGAGTGCTCACTGGAAGGGCAGATCCTGAAGCTGAGGGTCCAATACTTTGGCCATCTCATGAGAAGAGAAGACTCCGTGGAAAAGACCCTGACGTTGGGAAAGAGTGAAGGCAAGAGGAGAAGGGGACGACAGAGGACGAGATGGCTGGACAGTATCATCGAAGCTACCAACATAAATTTGACCAACTCTGGGACGCAGTGGAAGACAGGAGGGCCTGGCGTGCTCTGGTCCATGGGGTCATGAAGAGTTGGACATGACTTAACGACTAAACGACAACAAGAGAGATACTAAGAAGGGGATCAGATCAAAAGCACTTCAAATAATTATGAATTAAACAAATAAAGAAAAAGGAGGGCTTCCAAAATAATAGCTGGGAACCTTGTTAGTCTTCATCTTTACTAAAAAGGGGCTAGATTAGCACTTTTGTATTTATATTTTGCCTTCCTTTCCTAAAAGCTTCGGATGGATAATAAAAGGAAATAAATAAATATACAGTAAAATTCTTCAAATATGATGAATCACTTTTTATTATATACTTTAATAAAAAGAGGAAACAAAGCAGCCAAGGGTGACAAAGATAAAGAGCTATTGAAATTAGATAAACAATTACACTAAACTAAAAACTGAAGATCTTTTTTTTTAAAAAATAGGTCTTCACTTGGAGACAGAAGATCACCATCTTTCTTCCAATCCAAGAGTACACAGAGTTCAACAGAATGCCCTAACACCCATAAACACATTCTGCACAACAATCACAATAAACATGCTATAAGGAAAAATAATTGCTTTTCTTGAACATTGTGAGAACAAATCACAAACAAATTTGCATTTGTTTCATAGTTAGAATGAGCTATGAAAATCCCCTCAAACTAAACTTTAGGACAAGATTTTCTTCCTCATTAGCCTTCTTCCCTTTCATTTCCTGTTCACTGCCTGGTCAAGATCACTTACAGCTTATTCTTTGGCCACTGTGTAATTCCGTATATTTGCTTCCTGATGTTTTCAATGACAGACAATTATATTAAAAACACAGTGTATTTATTGAAAACAGATAAAATTACAATACCCTATATAATTACAATATTAAAAATTAAAATATGTCTTTGTTTATTTTATTCAATTTATATACCACCTCATTACTTCAAGCACTACTCTGGGAGGTTTACAAGATTAAAACTTAAAACCCTCAAAAACCCCACAATAACAAAAAAATTAATTCAAAAACAATGTGGCAACGCATAGATAGTAATTAAATCATAAATATAAATAATTCTATAAAATCTAAAATTAGTAAAAACAACAATAATAGCATCCAGGAGATTCAATTATTAATGACAGATTTAAGTAATTCTGTCTTTACCAGTTTTCTATACCTAAGGGGGGGGGGAGAAGGAGCCTGGCATATCTCTGTCAGCATTTGTGGACTAGGGGCCACAACAGAAAAGGCATAATTCCTTGCATTTGCTTTTTTAGCCTCCCTCGATACTGCCATCTCTAACAGCACGGATTTAGAGTGGATGGAATGGATAGCTAATTTCTGGGAGAGATTTTCTGACAAGCATTGAGATCCTAAACTATTAAGGGTCAGCACGTCAAAATGAACACAGAAATTAACAGGGAGCCAATAAAAGCACACCAAGACTGGGGATATATAAGCAAAGTTACTAGTCCCAGTAATCAGTCTGACCACTGAATTTCGGACCGGCTGAAGTTTCTGTACTGTTTTTTTCAACAGCAGCTCTACAGTATCACAGCAGTCTGTTTTTGAGATTATCAATGTGTGAACAACTGTTGCTAGACATTTCTGATCCAGATACGGGGGTGCAACTGCTCAATCAACCAAAGTTGATAGAAAGGATGCTTAGATAGGCCAGATACTTGAGCCTCCATAAAGAGTGTTGGTCCAAGAGTACCTCCAACTTGCAGACCTGATCCTTCATGGGGACTGTAAATCCATCAAGACCAGGTAAATTTCTTTCTAACCTGTTCATCTATGTCTTATCTGGATTCAGTTTTAGTTTATTGGGCTTCATCCAGTTTTAGTTTATTGGCCTTTGATCTTTAAAAAAATAATAAAAATCATTTTGTAGTATGTTAAAAACTCGTCATGTTCACCCATTTTTGAGAGCACCTCAGGTTGCCTATAATAATTCAATGCATA